TATGTAATGGATGGTTATTTGTATTTTCATTAAATTAATTTCTATTTTTTCAAAAGTCAAATATGGCGACAACTTTGATAACATTATTAAACCAATCCATTAAATCAAAAAAACCAAAACTAAAAACATTTCATATATTAATTATATCGATTACATATTAAAAGTCTAACAACTACCCATTACATGATCATTATCCAAACGCATAATAAAAAATAATTTGATAAAATAAATAAATAAATAAATTTCTAAAAGATTTATCAATTTTACATAATTTTATCTTTGGTGGGTAGAAATTATTTTTAAAAATTCAAAAATATTTTTTTGACATATATTTTTGTTAAATTAGTTTATATTTTATCAAATTGACCAAATTTGCCCTTGAAATTGAGCAATGTTATTTTTAATTGTCCTTATTTAAAATAAAATTTAAAATTTAAAATTTAAGTTCAAATGTGTCACAATTAAAAAGTCAGGGACCAAAGTGACACGAGTCCCAAACTATAAAGATTGTTTGTATAATTCGCCCATCGTTTTTAGTTTATTTAAATTATTTTTGCGTAATAAGTTACATGCCTCGTTTAGAAGTTAACTATTTTAGTAGGTTATTTTAGTTTTTGACTATTTTAGTAGATTAAAATTTTTTGCATTTGGAAAGATGATTAGATTTTTTTTTTGTAATTAGATGTGATGTTTGTGAGAGATAAGTGAAATGATTATGAGTTTGATGTGACATTTTATCTTATTGACTATTTCAACATATTTTATTTTTTTGTATATTTTAACCTTAAAAAAAACCATAAACCTACTTTCCAAATAGAGCCATAAGCAAAAATTGTACTAAACAATATGACACAAACTATTTAAAAAAATAATATATATTTTTTTGGAGTCAAGATTATAAGATGTTAGTTTGTTAATAAAGTTGAATTACAACTAAAAGATTCGCTGCTACTCCATCAACTCAAGCTCTTGATTTTCCCATCACCACACCTTAAGGTGTGACAATAAGACCACTAGGCCAAATTCAAGGTCTTTCTTAAGGAAAAAAATAAATAAATAAATAAAAAAGTAAAAAAAAGTCTAGTCTAAAAAAGTAAAAAAAATTGATATAATTTTTTTTAAAAAAAGCGACTTTTCTTGGGTGGCCAAAAGAGGGCAAAAGACAATAAAAATCATCCCCAACATGATATTATTTTACAGATCAAATTTAGTGACAATTAATTAAGTTTTATGCTTTGTGCTGCTTCTTCTTCTTCTTCTTCTTCTTCTTCTTTTTTCTCCTATAGGCTTATGGTTTGTTAAGATCTTCAATTTACGGAGAGAGAGGAGAAAAAAGTAAAAATCTTGTATAAAAATTTTGATAAATTTATCAACTTATCTAACAATAATATTTGCATGTACCTTTCCTAACATGGGCATCCTATAGCAAGAACTTTGTCATGACCGTCTGCTCTCCAAGTTCGGATATTTCACAAACAAAAGATTAGACATTCGCCCGTTTAGTAAAATTTATTATAAATTAAAAGTTGATAATTAAAAATAAAAAATAAAAAATAAAAATATCCCAAACTTCTAGATAATTAATCTTTTTTAGTTTATTTAAATTATTTTTGCCTAATAAGTAACAGGTCTTGTTTGGAAAGTTGATTATTTTAGTAGGATATTTTAGTTTTTAACTATTTTAGTAAGCTAAAATTTTTATTTTTGGGAAGATAATTGGATTTTTTTGTAATTAAATGTGATGTTTGTGAAAAAAAATATAAAATGATTATGAGTTTAATGTGACATTTTGTCTTATTGACTATTTTACCATATTTTGTCTTTTTGTGGATTTTAACCTAAAAAAAACCATAAACCTACTTTCCAAACAGGGCCATAAGCAAAACCTGTACTACACAATCTGACTCAAAATCTTTAAAAAAATAATATTTTTATTTTTTTGAGTTAAGATTATAGAATGTTAATTTGTTAGTAAAGTTAAATTACAACTAAAAAATTCGCCGTCAACTCAAGCTCTTAATTTTCCCATCACCACACCATAAGGTGTGACAATAAGACCACTATGCCAAATTCAAGGTTTTTTTGGGAAAAATAAAAATAAAAATCAGTACACTTGTATTGTATTGGTCCTTTAAGCCGTGCGTTTAGGTTAAGGGGTTGTTTGAAAAGCATTAAATTAGCATATTTTTTTACTTTTAATGAAAAAATATGAAATATGAAATATGAATTGAATTTGAAATAATGCGGTAGAAAAGTGATGCGACCCAACTAAAATAATTGTAAGCCAAATAAGATAAACCAAAACCAAATCAAAGTAAGATTCATTTCCATAAGGGATCCGAACGGTTTTTTTTACGTGTTGGCTGTTGGTTGTCGGCTACCTAACACACAACCCTCCTCCTTTACCCGGACTTGGGACCGGCAGAGTTGTAAGCCAAATAAGATAATATGCTAAACTAACTTGTGCTATTTTAGCACATGTCAAACAAAAAGCCTAAAGGCTTGGATTTTGGTATTGTACCAATAGTATCCACGTGTAATGTGGTCATTTGATTGAGCATTAAGAAAACAATATAAATTTAAATATTTTATTCAAAAATATTAATAATTCAAATTCATTTTATATATGAATTTACAATATATATTTTTAATCTTCACCACATATACTAATTTTTGTCACAAAATTGGAATGAAAGTTTGGATCCCTAATTTTAATCTTAAGAAAATCAGAGTATGATTTCTAAGCATAAATCCAGCTTCAAAATTAAGGTTGGAAGTTGGATTCATTTAGCAACGATGAGTGATAATATATAAAGAGATAATGTATAGAAAATAACGTGATTGCATTAAAACTTATTATTTTAAAATAAAGTGTCAATTAAATTGATATTAATTATAAAGATGTCACTACCATTAACGGCAGAATCATAAAATTAAATTAGAGAGGATACTTATTAATTACAATATTGAAATTTTTTACAAAAAATATTTCACGCAAGTTTTTCCGATTGATTTCGAGAAATATCAAAAAAATAATATTATTTATAACTAGTGTATCATGAACAATATAAAAATATGGATATAAATCTTAAAATAAATTATAATGTAAATTACAAATATACCCTCTAAGATTTGATTAAAATACGAATCGCCCCCTGCGGTTTTGGAAATTACATTTCATCTCCTGAGGTTTTTAATTTCATAACAAATCGCCCCTTTTATTAATGAATCATCAAGTCAATTAATAGTTTTTAATGATACTAGAAATATATTTTAATTAATAATTTAGGTAATTTTATTATTGTATAGAAGAGTAATTATGAATTTCATTTTTTTAATTAATTCTGTTAAATAAAAAATACTAACAATGAAGTATTTGTAATTTTTCAAACCACAGGGGACAATTTGTATCTTAAGCAAATCTCATGAGGTGTATTTGTAATTTACCCCAAATTATATAATGATAAATTATTTTTTTATACAAAATTTGATTAAAAATTTAATATAATGGTAGTTCCACGTCATTATTAGTATTTGATATCATCAACTAATAGTAAATAAACACAAAGAGAGTGAACCTCCAATGTCAAATGTAACTAACAATCCAATAAATTTCATATATTTATAGTAAGATTACTTATACTTACATGTTAATAATAATGACATCAACGTTACATTGAAAAATTTTCATAAAATTTTTATAGATAATATGGTTTATAATAGTATCTTCATTTTCAATCAAAACAATCATTATTATTCTTATAATTTTTAAAATGTCATTAACATTTCGTTCTAATAATATTTTTATAATTTTTTTTATTTAAAATATTTTCTTTATATTTACAAAAAAAAAAAAAAATTCAGGAGGGCAGGTGAACCCCTGGTCCCTAATTTCCTCCACCACTGACTACCATTGCAATGACTTTTTACAATATACCATTGAAAATATATGAAGCTACTTACAATTCAATTTGACTTATAATTTTAAATATACTCCTATCAGGTAATAAGTGTGGACTTTTTTTTCCATATTGATATGTTCCGGTATATCAGTAAAAATATAAATTATATGCCCATGGGCCAATTCTTAATAAATATTTGTTCATAATCTATTCACAATTTAGTTTACTGTCGATTCAGTTTATTCCATTACTATAAATTTCTTTTTGCAATGGACGATTTTTAAAGACTCGTGATGCATCACCCAATTCTTATGCTCAATACTCTATAAATTCGTCTAACGATACTATTGCTATTTAAAATCTTGATCTAACTATACATATTTTTAAGCCTAATATGATTAACCATAACCTACTAATCACTCAATCAAACTCTAATTACAATTACATTTTGCAATAAGACTTATCACTCATTAAAATACTATTTACCATAGAATAAAGTACCCCAAAAAAAAAAATTTTAAATCACCCTTTTATACCATATCCATTGCAGGCTTGTTGAAGATGGAAAGCATCCAAAATGGATGTAGGAGTTCAACAGAATGTGTGCACGTGGACGACAAGTGGGTTAATAAGGACTTCACAAAAAACACTTGATCTATCACAAAAAGTTAATTAAATGACGGTGAGGCAAATTTTGTTTTGATTCCTTGGGAATCCTATGAAATATATCCCTCAAAAGATATTATATATATATATATATATATATTTAGGTAAATTATTTACACCTTTTTTTGAAATTTACTTAAATTACAAATTTTTTTATGAGGTTTCAGAAATTACATCTCGCCATCCGAGATTTATATTCGCATAACAATTTAACCTATACCGTTAACTAAACGTTAAGAATGGTTAGCTGACATTACAAAAATATAAATTGATGGACTATATTGCCCCTGTTGAAATCCCTTTTGTCATGACTCAAACTCGCCCCTATAAATTTAACACCGTAACCGGCCAGTAATCTGAGATTACCAAAGGCCTTTTTATACAATCATAAACAATCGGAGCTTGCGGAAGCAATAGACAAAACACCAATAGTCCAATGAATTGTGCATCTATATGATTAAATATGTACATGCAAAAACATTAATTTACCCACATACATTACATAACGTATAACATAATATCTTATGCAAAACATATGCACGGGTCAAAAGTGTACATGATCAAAAGATTAACAACGGCCTTCCAGGCCTAGCCCCAACTCGGAGGCACAGGAAACAACTCGATAAGCTTCAAAACGGTGGCTCAACTAAAGACCCCTCCTAGGCTTGTCCTCCAGAACGCTCACCTATACATATACATAAAAACAGTGAGTTAAAGTCCAGTGAATAACATTAACATAAAGAGGTTAGTAAACGAATTCCAAATCATATCATGTATAGAAAACTGATCATACATATCTATCATATTAGTCTCATAATAGAACATAATAATGGTACATCCAAAGGAACATATCACATATCGTCTCCCGACTAGAGTAATCGGTTCCGGATACCGATTAAACACATAGCACCACAATGACGTGGCTAACGAGATCTCATAATCACATGTATGTCATGGACCCGCACTAATGTGTCGTCCCCCATGACTTGGGACTATCCTTGGATACCACACTAGATTTGCAAACCGGATATTCGTTCACAGAGTCAAAATCACATTTCAGAAACATATCATATCATATAGCATTTCGTGTAACATTTCAAGTACAGTGCATATCAACATATTTTTACAGAAATGTTACTCACAATGGGCTTCCAAAACCGGTTGTATGGTCTCCGAGTCTTGACCTACAAACACAAACATTCATAGCACAATTTCTCAATACACAGTCAAATCATTAGTTTATTATTAACCTTATTCGGTTATCCGATACTTGTTCACTAAATTATTTCCATGCTTATGAGATACATATGGATGTATATGTCATGTGAAAACCATGTAAAAGAACGCCCGAAAGTTAGAAAATGGAAAGAAAACAAAATTGGAAAATCTACCTTGTTTGGCCGCACGTGCAGTGGTCTTGGCTGCAGGTGCGGTGCCCTGGCCGCTCGTGCGGTGGCCCAAGCCGCTCGAGCGGTCTGGGTGTAAAACCAATCCAAAAATTTGGTAAACAATGGACCTTCTCCCTTTTTGCAATCTCAACTCTTTTGTATACAAAATAAGGTTCAAAACACTTCAAAACATATGACTTATACATTTCCAACTTCAAATAAAGATCATGGTTTCAAATCAAACTCAATAATATGTCCATGAAAATGATTAAAACTTGAATTCAAAGTATAAAGGCCCAAATCATGCAAAGCTTGAGTTTCATGCTCAAAATTCATGGAGTTTCCTCCTCAAGTAAAGAACCATGCAAGATTTCATATGTATGAACAAAAATTCATGAACTCATGCCATGGATAATTACAATTCCTCTCTTTAAACTTATGTGAGTTCTAACCAACATTTACACTACTCAACTCCTTAATTCCACTTAGCTTCAAGAGATTATGGAGGGATTCTCACCTTAGATGCTTGATTTGGTGAAGATTTGGCTTAATTCCCCCTTTGATCTTTTTCCTCCTCTTGTTTCACTCTTTCTCTAGAACTTTCTCTCCCTCTCCAAATATCTTGAGCCCTTAATTGATAAGAATGAGCTCAACTCTTATACATACATATTAGTGTATAAGTGAAGCCAAACATGACTTAGCGAATCAGACGAAAATCAATTTTCAATTAAACTTCCCAAAGGGCTCAAAAAATGCCCATTAGCATATCCATGTGCTCAATTGCGGTTTCTGAACCCCTTAAAGCTGTCAATTTGAGTTCCAAAGTTGTAGCCTCGACAGATATTTTCCCAATTCAAACAGATATTCTCAAATTAATTCATATTATCGCATAATTAAATAAAGATAATTGTGGCACGCGTTTTGGGGCCGTTACATTCCCCCACCTCAAGAAGTTTGGTGATCTAAACTTATCTTACCCTGTAACAAGATCAGAAGCCTCGGTCTCATATCATTATTTGTTCCATCATAGATGTTCAATTCATTTCGCAGTCATTTAGCAATTCACAATTCATCACAGTTACCCAGAAGTATCATCATAAAAAGAAAACAATCCCACAGTTCTATTCGGTTATTCATTTCAATGTTTCAGTTCAGTTATGCCGAATTTTAAAACAAATGTAAATTAAAATAATATTGTAGCAATCATATTTGCAGGATATCCATAATCATATACGTCACAATAGTTTCCTGACAACAAGTTCCATGATAACAATTTTCAAGAATAGTAACACGGTAGCAATCACTTTACACATACTGCATCTATTCTCATAGCATAGGTCAATTTCCATAGCAGCATAATTCGATCACAATATTCCATAAAGTCATAGTTCCAAATGTACGCAATGTCCCTTATCACAATCAATCATGATATGCTCGCATGTCCATTCCTTTGCAGCATAGTTGCCCTCATTATTCTATTCACAAAATTCAGTGTAAAGGATCAACCTAGTAAATTCTCAAAAGAGCAATGGTAGAGGGCCCAAATTCTGTGGCTCAAATGTGGCTCAAATAGTCAAAGCAATGGTAGAGGGCCCAAATTCTGTGGCTCAAATGTGGCTCAAATAGTCAAAACGACGTCGTTTTAAGTACAAAACAACATCAAAATGGCCAAAACGACGTCGTTTTGACAATTTGAGCCACATTTGAGCCACAGAATTAGGACCCCCAAACATTTTTCTTCTCAAAATTTCGCGAGTCCAAACAGTTTTTATCGCATTGGTGATTTGTCGAAGTAGTGCATATACTCTATATGATAGATGAAAAAAAAAATTACAAAAAAAATTTAAGTTTTTGAAATCATGTTTGATTTGTTATTTAGAAAAAAAAAATCAGAATTTAAAAAAAAAATTTAATTTAATAAAAATAAATATGAAAAAATATATTTAATTTGTAAAAATTATTTCTAACGACTCAAAAGATAAAATTATATAAAAATAATAATTATTTTTTTATTTCTTAACCAAATTAATTTTTAATTTTTTTAAAAAAATTCTAAAAAATTAATCCAAACATATTCTAAGAATTTTTTGACAAGCCATTTCTTGTGTTTTTAACTTATTTAATTATTTGTTAATTTTATGATATTTTCACCATCTAACACTACAACATATAAGAGTTTTAGAGACCATTTTTTTTATCTCTAAAAGTGAAAATTTTGTTACAAAAGACATTTAGGGATAAATTTCTATCGTCGTGAAGATAGTCGCTAAAAGGTCGTCCTGAAAAGTAAAAAATAAGGCTTTTGGCAATAAAATTTAAAAAATGTCAATAATAAATAGACTTTTGGGACAAAATAATTTGGTCTTAAAATGGTGATTTTTTAAGACAAAAAATTTGATACCAAAAAAATAATAATTAATCACTAATGTTCAATTTCGTAGTTAAAAATATTATAACGACACTTTTCGTAATAAAAATATTTGGTCCCCTAACATTAATTTTGTCCCTAAATTTTGGTCTCTAAAACTTTGATTTTTTGTAGTGTGATAAGTGTTTTTTCATTTTAATTTTGCATTTCATAACTTATTTAAAAATGATAATTTAGCTAAACCTCACGAGGGAATCTATAATTTAGCTAAACCTCAGGAAAAATTTATAATTTAGCTAAACCTCAAGGGGGTGTAAGTAATTTGTCCTTATTTGTCAAAAGGGCATTTTAGTCAATTTATGATATCCGTTAACGCTGTTAATTGCGATGGGGTGAAATGTAATTTTTGAAATCTTAGGGGGAATTTATAATTTCGTTAAACCTCAAGGGAGGTGTAGGTAATTTGTCCATATTTTTATTATATATTTTTGTGATATATTACGTATTTTTTATAATAAGGCCAAGTTTGGCAATTGCAAAATAATCTATATTTTTATCTTTTTATCTTTTTTTCATCACATCACCTCTCTACTTTTCTGTACATCTTTTCATAAAAAGACAAAAAGTGTACATATTTCATATTTTTTTATGATAGAATTATAACAATTTGTAATTCAGAAATGAAGTTACATATTTCGTGGTTAATGTTATACATTTTTTTTGTTAAAAAATATTTGAATAAAAAAATATGTAATATTACTGCAAAATACGTAACATCATTTTTGAATGATAAATTGTCATAATTTTACTAAAATATTATGTAATATTTAGTATAAAAATATATAATATATAAAAAAAATATATAACAACATGCATACAGTATATACATTTTAAGAGGTGTGTTTAGCATTCCCACATTTTCAACCAAGAGCTATGAAGGCGACTCCACACATATCTATCTAAATGTGAAGGTGACTCGACACAGATCTAGGAAAGACGTGTTTCTCAATTTGATTTGATTGTGTCCAGTTTGTAATTGGATTGGATTGTCCAGCCCTTATTTTTAAGTTCTATTTTGATAATTCGAATTATTTATATTTTATGATTCGTTAAGTAAATCATCGCTTCAAAAAATCAAGTTGATCAAACAACAGGAACCACATATTTGGATCAATTTTGTATAAATCATTTATTTTCTCATCGTCTATTTTTTTTCATACAAAACTAATCCAAACACATGATTGTCGTTATCTGATCAACTTGATATTTTGCAGGGATAATATACTTGACAAATCTTAAAATGCGAATGGTTCGAATTATCAAAACAAAACTCAAAAGTAATCTCATAAGGCCTAATAACACCTCTCTAATCCAATAGACGAGCAGAGAAAAACATAGACTTTCTAAATATTTATTTTCCTCCTCAATTTCATATAATTTGCATGTGAGTGGGAATCTCATACATTAGTAGGTCAAAGAAATTTTTTGAATGCGAAGAGAATAGATATCGCGTGGTATATTTTTTTTTGTTGGGATTAATTTGATAATGAAATTTATTACATCTATATTGAGTGTTAAGAAGACATTTGAGGATATATATATATATTTGTGATTAATCACGTGATATCTTCTCAACATACAAGAAAATATTTAATAAATTTTCCCCAAGTTATACCTATGAATCAACATAGTTTTAGGATTGTATTAGTCTCACTCTTAAGTTTGGAAGGACCGTCTTTTGTTGTTGTAATAATTTTACGAATGTAAAATCAATCACAAAACTGATATAGAAAATATAAATTGAGTAATGTAACTGAAACAATCTTGTCAATGATGAGCCTCACCATTTGATGTGTAGAGTGATCATTATCTTCTGGAATTCGTTTTATGTTTATTATTTTTTGTGACATTATTTGCATGTTTTTCATTTCAATATCATGTTTGTATTATGCATTGTTACTTCTTGTAGCTTTCTTAATTCCGACTTGGAAAATCTTTAATGGTTGGTGTGTGAGTGATTTTTCGATCACACTGCCCAACTCAGTATTCAGCTGGAGAACACTGGTAGAATAGATGACACCTGGCTAAACCTGTAACAAAAAGAGAAGATTTCGGTGGTAGTTCGTCTACCCGGGGGCACTCTGACGATCAAGTCAGTATATCTCTCAAAGATAATCAGTAGTACTTAACTCACTAGACAGAATATAAATTGTGTACCTTAGACCCATGGGGGTGCCTTTCTTTTATAGTTACCTCAATCCTAATCCCAATAGAAGCCTGACTTCTATGGATTCCTGTTCAGTACTTACTTTGGACTCCTTAAGAGATAAAGATAAACTCCCTAAGAGCTTTATCCTTATCTTGGCTAAGTCTCCTCTTTATTCTAAGACTCTTTCCCCTTATCCGCTTATCTCGGAATCCGATATCTTTGGAGATTACCTTGGCTTCACCGAGATCATCTCGGCGTCATATTCTGGACACGTGGCAGCGTGGCTGACACATTGGCGTCACTTTCGCCACGTGCTGGGACTCAGAAAATATATCCCCACAACTGCCCCTAGGTTCTATTACCTCGGCATTTTGAGGTGATGGAACCTATATCATTCCTTTCTTCCAGTACATCGGTTTACAGTATCTCAGCCGAGATCATTATGTTGGCCAACATGTCTTTGTTAAAGAATAAGAACTTCAAGAACCCTTTCACGCGTATGAGCTGTCATACAATAATTTAACTGTTTATGACACGTCTCTTTCCTATATTGGATCGTACCTGCGACGCGCTTAAAAACCGCCTTGCGCTTGCGTGCACCGTCTGACAAAGCCACCTTCCTAGGCGCATTGATTGCCCTCTTTTGCTGCCGTTTCAAGTTTAATCAAAACCCTTTTTTTTTTTCCCCGTCTTTTCACTTTACTCTTTCACGTCTGAAGCTCCTTCTCTCTCTTTCTTACTTTACCCTTCGAAATCCTCCATTGCTCAAGTTTCCAAAGTTCTGCAGCCACCAGCGTTCGCTTTCTTCGACTAGGTTCGTGCTGATTCTCCGGTCCGCCACTGTCGTCTGACCTCGGCAATATTTAACAGCGGCTTTGTTCTTCCTCTAGTAATACACTATTCCTTCTTTATTTCAGTTTCTTAATTTTTTCTTGAATTTGTTGCCATTACTGCTTTGCTTAAACATTCGATCTTGTGAATCATACATCTGAATGTGTTTTTTCCACAATTTTGCCCTTGCCCATATCTTGAACACATGCACTGTTTCACCACTTCCCTGTATTTTTGCCACTGTTCTTGGCCCTA